AGTCATAGGTACAGCTCTGAAGAGGACTGATCCCAGGACCCCTGTGTAACCCCCCCCCCCCCCCCCCCCCCCCCGCTGTTCGCCGCTCTGGTATTTTTGGGTTGGATTTGATTTTTTAGTGTTCTATTTTTTTTTTTCACTAAGAATATTTGACCCAATTTTTAGTGACGGCTGCGGCAGGAATGCGGCGGCTGCGCTCTATATATATATCTGTGATTGGATTTGAATTCTCCGTCTCCTCGGCTCCATACGCATGCGGCGGAGGGCAGAGATTGTGCCGGCTGTGTGGCGATGGACGTGTGTCCTCTGCGATCACCGTGACGAGGTGACAAGTGACATCCGGGCAGTGTTGGCGGACGCAGATCGCAGCCTCTCGCTTCGCCGCTGAATTGAATTTTCGCAGAACTCGCCGTCCAGCCATGCGATGCTTCGCAGTAGAAACAGACGCATGTTGGGGGGGCGGTAAATACTGGTACCAGCTGTGCAGAGGGAGAATCCAGCCAGAATATTGCAGGACGAGTGTAGACGCATGCCACATGGTGCATTGACATCTCTCTGCAGTTGCGTGTTGTGCATGATGCATGGTGCATGGACATCTCTCTGCAGTTGCGTGTTGTGCATGGACATCTCTCTGCAGGTGCGTGTTGTGCATGATGCATGGTGCATTGACATCTCTCTGCAGTTGCGTGTTGTGCATGGACATCTCTCTGCAGGTTCGTGTTGTGCATGATGCATGGTGCATGGACATCTCTCTGCAGGTGCGTGTTGTGCATGGTGCGATGACATCTCTCTGCAGGTGCGTGTTGTGCATGATGCATGGTGCATGGACATCTCTCTGCAGTTGCGTGTTGTGCATGATGCATTGACATCTCTCTGCAGTTGCGTGTTGTGCATGACGCATGGTGCATGGACATCTCTCTGCAGTTGCGTGTTGTTCATGATGCATGGTGCATTGACATCTCTCTGCAGTTGCGTGTTGTGCATGGTGCATGGACATCTCTCTGCAGTTGTGTGTTGTGCATGGCGCATGGTGCATTGACATCTCTCTGCAGTTGCATGGACATCTCTCTGTTGCGTGTTGTGCATGGTGCATGGACATCTCTCTGCAGTTGCGTGTTGTGCATGGGTGCATGGACATCTCTCTGCAGTTGCGTGTTGTGCATGGCGCATAGTGCATGGACATCTCTCGGACATCTCCTAGCATCTTGCGTGTTGTGCATGTCGCATGGAGCAAGGACATCTCTCTGCAATATCGTGTTGTGCATGAGTCGCAGGCACCGTGGAGAGGACGTCTGCGGAGTCCCATCTTCTGCGTGTCGGAGATGCATGCCAAAGCTCGCTACACATGTCACCCCGAGATCACAGCGACTGAACTGCGAGCGACAATCGTACAGTTAACAAGTGAAACTTGTTATTACGGCAAACACGCCTGCAAGACGTGGAAATCATACAGGGCAAGGGAGTGGATGATTTGGGAGGGATTTGTGTATGGGAGGGGGGAAGTGAAGTAGATTTGTTGATAGCGAGGGGGATTCAGAGGGGGATATAACGCGGAGTGGGGGTTTTGGCTAGAAAAGTATCGATTACTGGAGATTACGTGGGGTATTTGAATTGGAGAATATCATCCTAGGATAGGGGCGGGGAATCTGGACAGGGAGACAAGGCAAGGCATTTGTGCACAGAGGGAATTTGAGGGGTCACAGAAGCATCATATCTAGTGTGCGTAGCAGTGTCTAAACATAGGAAGGTAGGTTGCGTCTCTTTCTTGGGGGGGGGGGGTGTATTTATGTGACGAGGGTGTTACTATGTAAATTATAGGGACGAGTGATATCTATTAGGCCTAGGATTAGTTTCACGTGAAGACGCTTTTGTTAGCACAAGCGTGGTGCGGGAAGGCAGCACTCTCGTAAGCATAGTCCTGTGGATAGGGCAGGATTACGCGTGGGAGGGGAGGGGAGGGGAGGGGAATTTGCCTCATGGGAGGAAATTTGAGGATAAGTGTGGATTTAGTGCTGAGAGGGGTGGTGAACTTTTGTTGTTGGGGAGGGTTTGTGAATGGGGTGTCTGATGTGGAGAGAGGTGTCTCGATTGGGGCTGGGTGGTCGAAGGCTAGAGGCGGGGCGCGGGTTAACACATTCAATAGATTTGTTCATGCCGGAGGGGGATTCTCCAGCGAGAGGGCTATGGGTTTCTTGATCTGGTAAAGTCAATATGCGGAGTATGCACAGGGCGCATAGCACTACTATTCTCTGAGTCAAATTTTTTATTAAGAGTTGAGCGACGCGGCCTAGAGAGCGTAAGACACATGTAAACAGAAAACAGAGTCTGCACTGGGGGTTATCTAGTCGAACCATGGAGCGGCAGATTTTCTATTAGACATACATGTGTAGGACACGCCGAGGACACTATTGGGTCAGCATAGGTGATGTGGTTACGGCTTCGCGTGTATGGAGGTAAGGGGGGATCCGTGACCTAGCAAGATAGCGGGAATTTTGCACGCGTGTGTGTGCAGACGAGCACTAGGTATTCTAATGCTAGGATGGGAGACATCTGTCTATTTTGCGGGCGAGAGTGTCTATTTAGAATCCGATCTAGCGCGGTCTATCACTCGCGGAGCTCAGCAGAGTAGATGCTACACGACAGAGAGACTGCGGATGCGGCGGGGGCGGTGATGCGGAAAGAGGTCTACGGAGGAGCGTAGTCAAAGCGAGGGAGTGATGATTCTTTGTGAATGGGCGCGGCGGCGTTGAGGGCTCTAGACGAGTGCCGCGCTGATAATTCAACTAGATTTGACTCAAGCAGTCATATCTGGTATGTTCGCAGGGGCTACGAACGTAGTTTACGAGTGCTAGAAGCGGGGTAGATAGAACTGGTACATTTTGCAGGTCAGGTGGGGATTTGTGATGGGGGGCATATAGGGAGGGGACGAGCAAGTACACATCAAGGCGCTACATTGAGCGGAGCTGAGGTGTTTAGTGATCTTTCTATCCATACAGCCCGATTACTGTCTGCAGCGCAGCGGGGCAGTTTATTCATCACAGCGGAGAGTTGGAGTCGAGTCTCATGGACTGCGGGAGGGAGGTGAGAGCGAGTGGTGTGTAGTCAGCTCATAGAATTGAGGATTGATGAGAGAATGGTCACATGTGACTTGTGGTAAGATACTGTCTTTGTGTTCAAGGGATCACTTTCATCTGCTAGTGGATGAGGGTGGGAACTTTTTGTAGGGGTGGGGGAGTGGGTGTGTGGGGGGCAAGTTGGGGTGTAATGTGAGTAGTTGAGAGGGGTTTGGGGGGGGTGAGTCTTTGAATGGGTAGTGCGGGAGGGGGTAGGTGGCTGTTCAAGGGGTGTGGGTTTGTGGTAAGCAATGCAGATTTAGTGGCTAGCATGGTGGTTTTTGTCTGGGGGGGGGAGGCGTAATGATTTGGGCAGGCACATTAATGCTTCATTGAATGCAGCTAGTTGAGGGCGAATAGCTTTCTAGAGCACATATTCTGCCCTGGAGGCGCCGAGGTGACATTTGTTCCGCTGCGCATCTGCCTCAGTAGAAGATCTGCGAAGTCAGGATCTCCATTCCGTTCGCTGGTTGTCGTGTCATAATCGCCCCGCTGGATGGACAGAAGTAACTCCAATCCGCTTGACGGGAGAGCGCAGCGGTAGTGCTGGCTTGCTTGCCTTGGGCTTAGCTGTAAACCTTTGCTGCCTAAGATTGTAAAGATTTTAACAGTTTATGATGAGTCAGGACATGTCAGTCCTCACTTGTGCACACACCTGGGTCTCTATGCATTTGTACTTTGTGAGGGTGGGCTGTGCAGTTTGGGGGGGTGGTGGTGGAGACTGGTGAAATACGGGGCGGGGATACACGTGTGCTTCATTGTATACAGAAGTTGGATAAGTTCAGCTTTATTGGGATATGAGACTTCCGCGAATCCCTATATTTTTTGCATAGATTCAGAAGTAAAAGGGCTCCGCTCATTTAACCGATAATCGCAGCGCAGTAGGAGTGTGCGATTCAGACAGCTCTTATTGGGACCCGTGCGAAGTACCTCGTGCGTTGCTGGTACATGCAGCATCGGTGCCCCTGGTTGTGTCCGCGTTCTTGCCTCCTTCTGTCAATCATTCTGGCATTTTTCTTATCAGTGCATAAAAACCAAAGAAAAATACCTTCTGCCGAGAGAGAGGAATTAAGGATCGAGAGGACGCGTTCCACACTTCATTATACTGATACGTGGTCTAGGTCCACATAAACAAAACGTCCTAGACATAGTGATGATTCTCGTCTGAACTTCGGTACTCGGCATCCACTGCTAATGCCGGCTTTCGTTCCGGCGTATGTGAGTCTTCGAAAGGGGCAAGGAAAATCTAGAAGATCTATCTGTAGCTGATGTATTTGCTCGTCATCATAGGTCTACTGTGAGATTCCGGTAATGCATCGATACTCTACTGGTTTAATACGTCAGATGAGGCGCATGGGCATGTCGCACAATGCAGAGCTTCAATTCGCGCAGTGCTCAGTAAAATACTTCGCCCACCATTTCAATCATCCGTGGCCAGTTCTAAATCCACTTGACACCGGTGACAGTTCCGCAATCTCAGGCACCCCATTTCCTGGTTGATTCCTCTCTGTCCTGTCCTTGGCTAAAGGATGATCTACAGCTGGTCGTTCCTTGGCTTCTGTGCTACCAACTTCTTCAAGGTTTCTCCATGCTGGTGTTCAATAGAAGTCCCTTACAGCACAGACCTCTCCTACGAACCATGATTGCTAGACATAACTTCACACCCACGCTTGAGTTTAATTGTTTCCGGAAGTAGTTTCGGATGACATTCTTCCCCTACTGACTTAAGTTCCCCAAAATGTAAGTGACAATTCTTCCACTGATAAATCCAACCAATGTGAAGTGGACATTCTTCCCACATGACCCCTCAATGTAAGTGGAGACATTCTTCCCACATAGACGAGCCCCAAAATTTTAATGAGACTTATCCTTCCCACTGACGCCCGTATTGGAGGGGACATATCTCCGCACTGACCCGCGCAACTGTAAGTGCTGACATCTAGCTTTCCACGACACCCCATGTAAGGGACTAATCTTCCACTTAGTTGACGTCTCCGTTCAATGTAAGGTACATCTTTCCATTGAACTCCGCAATGGTAAGGACACTTTCTTTCCCGCTGACTACACCCCACAATGTTAAGGTGATCAATTATTTGATTATTCTTCCCCACTGACTAAGTTGCCCCAATTGTAAGGGACATTTCTCACACTGACCCTCCCAGATGATTAAGAGGACAGGCTTACCCACTGTGACATAATCCGCCAAATGTTAGGAGACCATATCTTCCTCATCTGGAGCCCCAGATTTGTAGAGGTCATTTCATTATTCCACACTTGATCAGTTACTCGCCCCAATGTAAGGGATACATTCTTTCCGACTCGATCGAAGCCCAATGTAAGAGGACTTCTCCCACATGAATCCCAATTGTGAAGATGGACATGTTCTTTTCCCACTGACCGGCCCAATGAAAGGGGGAGCATTCTTCCCACTGACCCGCTCAATGGTAAGGGACATTGATGTCTGTTGCCACTGTACTTTGTTCACCTCCAATGTAAGAGACATTCTTCCCACTGACCCCCAATGTAAGGGACATCTTCCACTGACCCACCAATGTAAGGGACATTCTTTCCCACTGACCCCCAATGTTAGGGACATTCTTCCCACTGACCCCCCAATGTAAGGGACATTCTTCCCACTGACCCCCCAATGTAAGGGACATTCTGTCCACTGACCCCCAATGTAAGGGTACATTCTTCCCACTGACCCCCAATGGTAAAGGGACATTCTTCTCACTGACCCCAATGTAAGGGACATTGAGTCTTCCCACTGACCACCCCCAAATGTAAGGGGGGATAGTCTTCCCCACTGACCCCGCAATGTAAGGGACAATTCTTCCCCTTACTGAACCCCCAATGTAAGGGACATTCTTCACAACCAACCCCTGAATGAATTGTTTTTATCAGGGGGTTCCTCTAGACCAAAACAGTCCTTCCAGGTTTCCTGTGGGGTAAGAAGGCTGAAAACATAGTAGTCTGGCTTCAGTACTAAATCGGTAAGTAGTTTCTGGTGTCCCAGTGAAATCAAGGTGGAACTCCATACCTGAGTACTACTTCTGGGTCAGAGACTCGGAAATGATTGACTCGTACAGGAAAAGCTGGAGGCGTGACCCTTATGTCATTGGTTGCTGTAATTGTGTGCGACGCGTTTTGGTCTTCATCATCGCCCTTCACCAGGCTGCCAATGATAGGTTGCATTTGTGGTGTAAAGGGGGAGGTACCATTACTAGTCGGGGTTCATCTCTGCATTGGTTTGGATGTGACCATCTCAGATGGCTTTCAATTTGTATGCAAAGCTGCAGCAGAAGGGAAGGAGCTGCCATATTGGCTTTCCAGTCTATGCTGGGCCCGGAGGGGCCATCCTGGGCACACGACTGCCATGTCTTAATATAGACACCGATCAGCCATAACATGATGACCCGCCGTACCCAACCATAGGCATGGACTTCCCTAGACCTCTGAAGGTGTGGTGTGGTATCTGGCGCCAAGCCATCAGTAGCAGATCCTTTCAGTCCCGAAAGTTGCGTGGCGGGGCCTCCATGGGCCTCCTTTTCCAGCACGTGCCACAGATGTTTGATTGGATTGAGATCTGGAGAATTTGAAGGCCAAGTCAACACCTGCAGCTCTCATTGTGTTCCTCAAACCATTCTTGAATGCATCAGGCCAGGGCGCCATTGTTCCGAGGTCCAGTTTTGATGCTCATGTGCACATATATGATGGGTTTTTTTTTGGTTTTGCACCCAAATTCTTTTCTCTTCCCATGTGGAAAGAAAAAAGAGACGATCGTCACCCTTTTTGTGGAAGGAAATGGAGGATCTCTGAGTGCCCCGGAGATTTTATAGCTGGAAATCTATGTAGCCTGAGAGGCAGGGCATTAATGATGGGAGTCTTGGCATGCCATGCCGGTAATTATTATCGATTGGAACAGAACTGACTATCAGTAGAGAATCCAGCATGGTGACGGATCGCATTGGCCGGGGGACTGTGAAATGCCCCCCATTGGCAGCATCGCGGCATAGAGACTGAACAAAGTGGGGGGGGGCAGCTGATTAATTAGGCTCAGCCAAGCTTCAAGAACTTCCTGAGTGGTGGGTCATTGGGGATGCCGATGGAGGTGATCCAGGCCTGGTGCATGGCTGGTACAATGGGGTGCCCCTTCGGGCCCCTCTGTGTGGTGTAATGCACAGTGCAGCCCTTTGCGCTCGGTGACTCTTCTCACAAGTAGAGATATATAAGATCTGCTGAGCGCCGGAGCAGCCGGAGGCCCCAATGATGTCACCTTCCATCAGTCACATAACGGGGGCGCTCTCCTCTCCTTCCCTGATGAGACCCGCAGATGTATTTATAGTGGCAGCAAAATTCTCACCACGATGGCTGTACAGGATGGAGGAAGATCCGGATCCGAGTATGAGGGTCTCAAACCGCATTATAACTGTACTCCTCTGTGAGCTCTCGTCTTCTGCTCCAATTCACCCCCCGACCTCTCCGTCTCCTGCTGCTCCCTCTTAGGATGGTCCTTCCCCTTCATTCCATGCCTCTCCTCTCCTCTTCACACACTCCTCTCCGCTCCTCTCCTCTCCTCTCCTCTCCTCCAATCTCTTCTCTTCCTCATCTCTCATTGGGTCTCCTTACCTCTCCTCCTTCTCCCTCTCTCCTTGCTTCTCTTTCCTTCTCTACTTTCATTTTCCTCTCCTCTTTCCCCATTTCCTCTCTTCTCCCTTCTCTATCAATGATCTATTCCTATCTTCTCTCTCCTCTCCTCCCCTTCCCTCTCCTCACTCTTTTCCCTCTCCTCCTTTCTCTTCCTCACCTCTCCTCTCTCCCACCTCTCCTCTCTCCCTCTCATTTGGTCTCCTCATCTCTTTCCTTCCTTCTTCTTCTTTCTTTTTTTTATTCTTTCTTCTTTCTTTCTTTTTCTTTCTTCTCTTATTCTTTCTTTCTTTTTTCTTTCTTTCTTTCTTTCTTTCTTTTCTCTCCTCTACTTCACTCCCCTCTCTCCTCTACTCTCCTCCCCTCTCTCCTCTCCTCTCTCCTGCTGTTTTCCTCTCTTCTCCCCCTCTATTCAACGTTCTATCCCTATCTTCTCTGTCTTTCTCTCCTCTCGTCATCTCTCTCCTCTCTTCTCTCTTCTCTCTCCTCTCCTCTCTCTCTCGTCTCCTCTCGTCTCTCTTCTCTTCTCTCTTTTCTCCTCTCTTCTCTCCTCTCTTCTCTCTCCTGTCCTCTCTCCTCTCTCTCTCTTTTCTCTCTCCCTCTCCTCTCTCCCTCCCCTCTCTTCTCTTCTCTCTCCTCTACCCTCTCATATCTCCTCTCTCTCTCCCTCTCTCGCTCGCTCCCTCTCTCCTCTCCTCTCCCCTCCCCTCTCCTCCTCTCCTCCCTCCTCTCCTCCACCCTCCCCTCCGCTCTCCTCTCCTCCCCCCTCCCCTCCCCTCCTCTCTCCTCTCCTCCACCCTCCCCTCCGCTCTCCTCTCCTCCCCCCTCCCCTCCCCTCCTCTCTCCTCTCCTCCACCCTCCCCTCCGCTCTCCTCTCCTCCTCCCCCCTCCCCTCTCCTCCTCTCTCCTCTCCTCCCCCCTCCCCTCTCCCCCCACTCCTCCCCCCCCTCCCCTCTCCTCCCCACCTCCTCCCCCCTCCCCTCCTCTCCTCTCCTTCCTCCTCTTGCTCCCCCTCCCCTCTCCTCTCTCCCCTCCTCCCCTCTCCTCTCTAATCCTACCTCCCCTCTCCTCTCGCTTACTCTCCCCCCTGTCTCTCTCCTCCCCTCCCCTCTCGCTCCCCCCCCCCCTCTCTCTCTCTCTCCCCTCTCCTCCCCTCTCCTCTCCCCTCCCCCCCCCCTCCCCCCTCCCTCCTCTCCTCTCCTCTCCCCTCCCCTCTCCTCCATCCCCTCCCCTCCCCTCTCCTCTCCTCTCCCCTCCCCTCTCCTCTCCTCTCCCCTCCCCCCCTCTCCTCTCCCCCTCCCCTCTCCTCTCCCCTCCTCTCCCCTCTCCTCTCCCCTCCCCTCCCCTCCTCCTCCCCTCCCTCTCCCCTCCCCTCCCCTCTCCTCTCCCCTCCCCTCCCCTCCCCTCCCCTCCCCTCTCCTCTCCCCTCCCCTCCCCTCTCCTCTCCTCTCCTCTCCTCTCCTCTCCCCTCCCCTCTCCTCTCCCCTCTCCTCTCCCCTCCCCTCCCCTCCCCTCTCCCCTCTCCTCTCTCCTCTTCCCCTCCCCTCTCCTCTCCTCTCCCCTCTCCTCTCCTCTCTCCTCTCTCCCCCTCTCCTCTCTTCCCCCTCTCCTCTCCTCTCCCCTCCCCTCCCCTCCCCTCTCCCCTCCCCTCCCTCTCCTCTCCTCTCCTCTCCTCTCCCTCCCCCCCCACTCTCCTCTCCCCTCTCCTCTCCTCTCCCCTCCCCTCCCCTCTCCTCTCTCTCCCTCTCCCCTCTCCCCTCTCCTCTCCCTCTCTCCCCTCTCCTCTCTCCCCTCTCCTCTCCTCTCCCCTCTCCTCTCTCCCCTCTCCTCTCCTCTCCCCTCTCCTCTCTCCCCTCTCCTCTCCTCTCCCCTCCCCTCTCCTCTCCCCTCTCCTCTCTCCTCTCCCCTCTCCTCTCTCCTCTCCCCTCTCCTCTCCTCTCCCCTCTCCTCTCCTCTCCCCTCTCCCTCTCTCCCCTCTCCTCTCTCCCCTCTCCTCTCCATCTCTCCTCCATCCTCTGAGTCTGATGTCCGGCTCTGTAGTTGAGGGAAGATTCATGATGCTGGGAGATTGTAGTGGACGTTGCTGTCCATTCCTCCTCTCTGGGGTCCCCGACTGTCATCACTCAGAGCTGACAGCTTCCTAGAGACCCGTAAATCTCCGTCGGCTCTGCCTGGATATCGGCCTGGAGAGTGAATTGTGGGCTCCTTATAGGAGACACTTAAAGGGCCCCCCCCCCGGACCCCCCCTCCACCCACAAGAGTCAGGAGATCCCCTCCAAGGCTGGCCTGTACTGGGGGGGGGGGGGGGGGGGGGGGGGGGGGGGGGGGCAGGAGGAGGACTCAGGAGATTCTCCAGTGAAACATCCCGAGAAGCAGACAGAGAAGTATTCGCTGGGGGTGAAAAAATTGCAAGAAGTGAAATTTCATCCAACGTGTTCCCTGGTACCAGTCCCCTCTAAGCTGACTGTACATGGGGGGGGGGGGATACACCCCACAGAGGCACTGACTGTACATGGGGGGGGGGATACACCACACAGAGGCACTGACTGTACATGGGGGGGGATACACCCCACAGAGGCACTGACTGTACATGGGGGGGGATACACCCCACAGAGGCACTGACTGTACATGGGGGGGGGATACACCCCACAGAGGCACTGACTGTACATGGGGGGGGGGGATACACTACACAGAGGCACTGACTGTACATGGGGGGGGGGGGGATACACTACACAGAGGCACTGACTGTACATGGGGGGGGATACACCCCACAGAGGCACTGACTGTACATGGGGGGGGGGGGGGGATACACCACACAGAGGCACTGACTGTACATGGGGGGGGGATACACCCTACAGAGGCACTGACTGTACATGGGGGGGATACACCCCACAGAGGCACTGACTGTACATGGGGGGGGGGATACACTACACAGAGGCACTGACTGTACATGGGGGGGGGGGGGGGATACACCACACAGAGGCACTGACTGTACATGGGGGAGATA